CCAACAATGTGTGCTCATCTGCATCTGCATTTCCAACTATGGTTCCTCGCTGAATAAAATAGAGATATTTTATTACTTCTTTTAACTAATCAACAATTTTATTGACTTACCATGGAAACCTTGTTGACAAACACATTCACCTTGGAAACACACACCTCTGCCATTACACATATCTGGGCAAGCTGGACCAATATACACATCATCCAAAGCAAAATCTGGTGCACTTTTATCACTGGGCTGCAACCAGCGAAACTGTATTTTTCTGAAAAAGTAACGGTGAGAAATGATTTAACTTGGAAAATAAAACAATATAATTATTTTACTAGAGGTTCAAGGTTTATTATTAAAATGTTAGATCATAGGATGTAGTGGTATCAGAGCATTGCGTGGGATTCAACAAACAAAATTATCTTGAGGGTATTTTCACACTTACTAATACTATTAATATTATTGCTATACACTTCTAATGATGATTAATTTTAATGAAATAAATGCATCTTGATGCAATATTCCCCTCTCAAAGATCAGCATTTAGACATTCAGCTACAAAAAAGAAGTTCAAATTCAAATTGTTTGATGTTTGTGACAGATGTTTTCGGCCTGCGCCTTTCACGCAATACTGTAAAATACTTTATTTTTGCTTGGAATTTATTTTCTCTGCAGGAATTATTCAGTGAAAATAAAATTCAGTCAATATACCTTTTTTCCTATATTTTACATTCAACTCATCAAAAATCAGTGAAAATAAATACCATACAAAACGTCAAAAAAGTTAATTCAAAATTAATTCAAGCTAAAATAAAGTATTTTACAGTAATCAAGATTATATTGTAAACAAAAAATCATCTATTAATTTTTATAGTTGGATTAAAACAGAAAAGTTTTTGATTGAATGATGTATGTGATATTTATTCAAAGTCTGCACTTTGTGATTTTGGCACATCAAAATTTATACTACATTAATATTGTATTGCTGGGTCCGAGTCACATGCTCTTGCAAACAAGTGCTAAACTAAAATTGATCCTTTATTCCTTTATTGATACAAGTGCAATGGAAATATCAGTAATAACCATGCAAACCATAGAATCAAAACAGAATGATGGTTTAATCATACCTTCCAGTCAGGTCTTCATCTACAGGGATTACCACTAATCTCCATTTATTGTATAATCCCATATGATAGACACTCCCATCCTGATAATCATCAGTTAATCCTTCGCAGTAATCATCGCTTTTAATAAATGGATGGCACGGCTTGATAACCAGATTCCAGTGTAGGCCAGCATCCACCGAGTATTGTAAATAAACTGGATTATGTGTTTGGAAGTCTTGACCACATCCAATGACAATCTATCACAAAACAAGGCATTATTATAAGATCGTATACTCTCATAACTGAATTTTATTGATATGATCAACAATAGCAACCCCTGTCTTATCAGCAAAATGGCAACCAAATGGCCATCTTGGCCTGGATCGATAACAATTTTTGTATACATATACTAATTATTGGTCCAAGCATTGTAAATGAGGTAGGCAAGACAGAACCCAATAAATAAGGCCACTCAAAAAAAAAATGTGCTTTTGGTCACACTTTCATTTATAAAATGGGGCAGTGAAGCAATTTTTATAGGCCTTTTCTCTCCATTTCAGAGACTATTATCAGCAACAGTGAAAATGTTTATGTGTATGGGATGGGTTGGGGTGGGGAGGTAGCATTATAATATTGGCTTAAGAATTACGATAAACTTCAGTAGATCATATTTTCACTCTTTAATCCTAATTAAAATGAGGAACACTAAAGCATTTGTTATTTATATGAGAGGGGTAATCACTCATGAGCAGACATACATTTATAGTGATAACTACAAATGAGAGTGCAGTGAGAGTGTGTATATGGATATTTCTGACTGACACCTGTCGCTTTGTACCGATTTTTGAACACAGTGGCATACTACTACAAGTAAGAAACAAATAATAAAGCTAACAGTACAATGGTGCCAAAAATTATCTATAGTGCAGCGACACGCATTATACATGTAATTATAAAATACTCAGGCTGCTCTTATTTGTTGTTGTTGTCCCAAGTTGTTTGTGAATGTCCATTTGCTAAGCACCAACAATATAAATGTTTTCTTGTATTTACCTTAAACTGTATGATATCCCTTATTTGTAGGTTCATGTATTCTGTTATGGCATATCTGTCACCATTGTTTCCACTGAACACCAACGCAGTGCCATCAGAATGACATAACTGACCAACATTACCATTAGAGATAGACGTCCATATATCTGATATTACCAGTGATATATCAGCATTCTAAATAAATAAACAAACATAAATTAAACTACAGATCCACTGATGAAACACCACAACAGCTCCACACAAGGTAGCCGTATACATATAAAATCAATGTGATTGGTAAATTGTCAATGTTGGTAGATGTTGATAGAAGCCCAACAACACTGATCCATTCACCTATATGACACACTCAGCTTGGACTTCTTTTACAACAGTAAAGGTAAGGCCAAGAAAAAAAAAGTCTGTTTCTCGTTTCATGGAAATTTTAAAATGAGGCGGTGAGGAGATTATTTTTTTTGAATACTGAGCTAAAATGTGGGAAATTTGAGACAAGTGCGAGTACAAGCACATTTTGGAATGCTTTAGAAGGAAAAAAAAGAACTTCCGAAGCGCATAGTTAAAAATGATGTGCACGGAAACGAGAAACAGAGACTTTTTTTTCTCAGCCTAAATAAAAATGACCGTCATTCATTAAATATATGTACACTGCTCAAGTTGTATAAAAATTACAATTATTTGCAGACTGCAACAAACTCAGTCAAGGGCCATACATTCACCAACTAAACAAAAAGTTTTTATAAGTGATCATAAGTTCAAACAGCATTTCACTGGTTTCTCCTACCTGGAAATCCGC